CGCAGGGGGAGAGGCTAGCATGGATGACGTCACGGGGGGAGGGGGGATGACTTGGGTCGCAGGCACGGTGAGGCCGGGGAGCCAGGCCAGCGCGGAGTTTAAAACAGCGCCCGGCAGCCAAGGAAGGGGGACAGACGGCGAGGCGTGGAGCCAAGGAGGCGAGGGTGAGGCAAGAGCCCTCGGAGGGGACTGGCCCCTAGGAGGGGCAGGAAGCGGCCCAGTGCAGTGTTGCGTAGCCCGTGAGCGGGTGTGTTTAGGGGCACTACCCCCATCCGCTAGGCAGGGACCGGCAGTCGCTGCCTTAGGGCCCTGGGTCGAGGTTCAGAGTGAGGGAGGGCCCGAACCCTGCTACTCTGCCCGGCAGGGCAAAGCGCATCCATGAGACCGGCTCTCTAGGTCAAAGCAGAAAATAGAGTGACTCTAAGACCAAGGGGGCGAAGTCCGGGACTGTTTTGGGGATGCTTAACCATCTGACGGGTACAATAGAAAGGGTGACGGGAACCCACCAATGGCGGGGGTAGCGTGATCCTTTTACAAGCCCCAATGGAAAACAATAAAAGAGGAGAGCTGATTGTGAAGTCATTCCCCTTCCAGGCCCAAGGGACAAAGCGCTGTAGTGTGACACTCACCTGAGCATGATACTATAGGAGAGATGAAACAAGCCTTCTTCTGCCCACTGCCGGCTCAATGGGTTTGGGTCAGGAAGCAGAACAGTCTGCAGGTTGAAGAACATCGCCTTCGTGAGGGACGGAAGGTTCTTGTTTTGGAGAGCCCTGTAGGAGCAGAAGTTACTTTATGAAACTCCTTCATGGATTAAGTCTTACTGCTCCCTAATCAGTGTGTAGTTAGGGGAAAGTCTCATTTATTTATAGCATGAGCATCCCTGGGTGTTGGAACTTCGTCACTGTGCACTGCCAAGCAGCTGTGATCTGGGAAAAGGGGAATGCACGGCACTACGGCACCACACAGAGAAACAACATGCAAGCCCTGATCCAGATTCTCTTCTTGCCCATTCCAATAGGTTCAGCTGGAAAAAAGTGTGGGGGGGGGGGGGGGGGGGGAGGAGGCTGAAGGTTGGATGTGGATTTTTGCTTTAGATCCGTGTTTCGGGATAGAAGCCACCGAGAGGGAACAAATGATGAACATGGCAATATCATCTAAGTGCCTTAGCTGTTTTGTTCTCTTGAGTGGAAAGTGGCTGTTTTAGACTTAACAAACAAAAGGCCAGTGTGCTATGACATCTAGGGGGATTTTCCTTTAGCAGTAGCCACTGGTCAGATGCGAGGTTTGATTGCAACAATACATTTTTCCAGGGAGGCTACTGTATTTCTTATGCTGTACTTCCAATGAGCAGCCGTTCTTTGTCTTCATGAACCACACTGGACCCACTGCTCTTTTCGTGCTACTCAAATGACTACTCAGGGACTGATTATGGATCATTCCCCATAGTGCACTGTCAGCCTGGGACTTGCTGCAGACAAAGAACGGCTGCTCATTTTAAGAACTGCACTCAGTGCCCTAGTATCATGCTAGCTCATTGGAAGTACAGCATAAGAAATATAGTAGCCTCCCCGGAAAAATGTATTGTTGCAATCAAACCTCGCACACTGTCATAGCACACTGGCCTTTTGTTTGCTAAGTCTAAAACAGCCACTTTCCACTCAAGAGAACAAAACAGCTATGGCACTTAGATGATATTACCATGTTCATCATTTGTTCCCTCTCAGTGGCTTCTATCCCGAAGCAGGGATTTAAATACCCAGGAAACTACAGACCAGTTAGTTTAACTTCTGTGCCAGGGAAGATAATGGAGCAAGTAATTAAGGAAATCATCTGTAAACACTTGGAATGTGGCAAGGTGATAGGGAACAGCCAGCATGGATTTGTAAAGAACAAATCATGTCAAACCAATCTGATAGCTTTCTTTAATAGGATAACGAGTCTTGTGGATAAGGGAGAAGGGGTGGATGTGGATGTGGTATATATACTTTAGTAAGGCGTTTGATACGGTCTCGCATGATATTCTTATCAATAAACTAGGTAAATACAACTTAGATGGGACTACTATAAGGTGGGTGCATAACTGGCTGGATTACCGTACTCAGAGAGTAGTTATTAATGGTTCACAATCCTGCTGGAAGGGCATAACAAGTGGGGTTCCGCAGGGGTCTGTTTTGGGACCGGCTCTGTTCAATATCTTCATCAACGATTTAGATATTGGAATAGAAAGTATGCTTATTAAGTTTGCAGATGATACCAAGCTGGGAGGGGTTGCGACTAATCTGGAGGATAGGATCATAATTCAAAATGACCTGGACAAATTGGAGAAATGGTCTGAGGTAAATAGGATGAAGTTTAATAAAGACAAATGCAAAGTGCTCCACTTAGGAAGGAACAATCAGCTTCATATATACAAATATGAAGCGACTGTCTGGGAAGGAGAATGGCAGAAAGCAGCGGCGGATATAGGGCAGGGCGAGCGGGGCAGCTGCCCCGGGCCCTGCGCTTCCATAGGCCCCGTGCCAGCGGGGTCACTTTCTAGCTTTTGCCACTAGAGGGCGCCGCTGCTCCGCGCCACACAGGGAAACCACGAGATCCTGGGAGCGGGTGGGACCTGGGCAGAGAGATGCCGGAGTATGTGGGCAGTGCTCTTAGGGCCCTGTCCCACAGAGTGTCCCCCCAGCGTCTGCAGTTCTGTCTCTAGAGCAGCCCAGCCGGCCTGCAGGCACTCTGGGGGGTCTCTGCTGGCGGGTGGGTACCGTGACGCGCCTTTCCCTAGCTCCGCAGACCCAGACACCAGACCAACTCCTTGAAAGAGTAAATAAGAATAAAGCGGCAGCTTCTGCAGCCCGGCCCTGGGGGCCACTCTCCTAAGAGGCGCAGGAGCCTGCAACGCGGCGCTGTACCTAGCCCCGCCCCCACACTCTCCTAAGAGGCGCAGGAGCCGGCAACGCGGCGCTGTGCCTGGCCCCGCCCCCACCCCACATCTCCTGCCCCCCAGCTGCCGCCGGATCCTGCAGCTAGAGTCCTCTGCCTCAGCACGGGAAGAGATGGTCTCAGTGTGGGGGAGCCCCGTGAGCCCCACACTGGCTGGGGCGTGT